GATTGCTGGGAAGACAAGTACAGCTGGTACTTTGCCCAGTATAGGCAGTAGAACAGGTTCTCTTTAAATGCATCTAGAGCAAGTACCTGCACTTGTCTTGGTATCTTCCTCTGCACAGCAGCACTCAGACTGGGAGAGCGGAGGGAGGGGGATCAGCACCAGGACCCAATCATGTTCTGCTAAATGCCCATGTGTCGACAGGGAACAGGCTGACAGCAAAACAAAGCAGTGTGAGCAGAAGGATGACCTCAGCAGTGTGCTGCCGCTCCTTCATTGTCCAATCATAGACCTGAGTGGGGCTAGGTCCTGCTCTAGTGATGTAACTACAGCAGACTTGGCTATGCTGACCAGCAGGGGTGTCTGGATCACAAGGCTGCCTGAACAGTCCTTTGGTGTAAAGCAGTTCCCATATGCAGTGTGCAGCTTACTTGTCCATGTAGAATGTTGCCTGGAGTTCAGCTATGGAATCTTTGGAAAACAATATGAAGTTAACACATGCAGTGGATGAGGCTGTATTGACCATAATGGCACGTATGGGCCAGTGCCTAGGGCAGTGGTTGTCAACTTACAAAGTGTGGGGGCCTCAACTGTGGCCCCTGACATCTCCCAAGGGCCACATATGATATTTAGTAGATACAAGAAGAATATCAGAGACTTCAGACATATTAGAGGTGATGATCTGAGATTAGAGATATGCAACAGGGGTGGTTGGAGACTGAAGACACATTACAGGAGGTGGTCAAAGACCATGGACATGCTACAAGAGACTGCTAGAGGTCACTGTCATTATAGGCCAGTGGTGGCGAACCTTGGCACTCCAGCTGTTTTGGAACTACAAGTCCCATGAGGCATTGCAAGGCTCTGACAGCCACAGACATAACTCCCAGAGGCAGATGCATGTTGGGATTTGTAGTTTTGGCACAGCTGGAGTGCCAAGGTTCGCCATCACTGTTATAGGCTGTTTACAAATGAATGTTTCCACTACTGACTGCTGGGGGTCTGCAAAGGGCCACACAGCTAGTACCAAAGGGCTACATGTGGACCTCGGACGGCAGGTTGGGCACCAAAGGCCTAGGGCAGGGGTAGGCAGACTCCAGCCCTCCTATCATGCATCTGCCTCTGGGAATCATGCCTGTGACTGTCAAAGTCATTACACTGCCTAATGGGATTTGTAGTTGCACCACAGCTGGATGGCCGGGGTTTGCCTACCCCTGGCCTAGGGTTTCAGCATTAGTGTTGACAGCCTTTGATTTGGCAAATGCAGCATGCTTGTGACGTCAGTTGGAGAGGCTTCTGGTATATTTGACTTGCTGCTGACCTCCTTCTGACCTGCTTCAAGAGGGTTTTGCATTCCCATAGGCTTGTATGGGGAGAGAAGCAGTTCGGATGCCAAAACAAAAGCTCGTCAGCACAGACCCTGAGGTGGGCAGCACCCAGCTTCAAAAACTTGTACAGCATTGTTTCTCCCTTTTCTCTCTCTTGCCACCTCTAGACATTTTTGGATACATCTATTAAAAAAAAAATCTTAGGGGGGAAGGGATGATGAGAGACGTCACAAGACTGTCTGAAGTTCAGAAAGCATTCATTTCACAGGTAGATTCTTCTGTTTCTTCTCCACCACACAAGGGGCAGAGTTTTACAAAAGGGCGACATCATTTTGCTGTACCAGCAAGTTACCCATTTACAGCCCTGTTGAGATATCTGTAAAAAATCAGTCAAGGCAACTGGACTTGCTGTATTTTTCTTGAAGACGTTTCACTGGACATCCGACCAGCTTTCTCAATTCAGAATTACTTGTACAAAATTCTCTGGGAATAAATATGGTGAATGTCGCTCAAATCCACATAGTCTGTTAATCACAACCAGGTGTTGATTGTATTTACATAATTGGAGTCTAGGAGGTGTTATTAATCACATTCTGACCACTAGATGGAGCTAAAGGAGCATAGCAAACAAGTATTTACTTGCTATGCTCATCAGTGCCATCTAGTGGCCATAATGTGGTAATACAGTTAAAAAACCCCAATTAGTTTTGCCAGATACATGCGCAAAAGAAACCATCGCAGATATTCGTAGGGACAGGAGCCATGTAAATAGTTTAGAACTAGACCTCCAAGGTGTCAGTAGCATAAACGCTGATGCCCCCCGTAACATAGTTTTATTATCTCTTGATCCTGTTAGAACAGGGGTGGGCAACTCCAGTCCTCCAGCTGTTGTGGAACTACAAGTCCCATGAGGAAATCGCAAGACTCTGGTAGCCACAGGCATGAGGAATTTGTAGTTGCTCACCAGCAGCAGCACCAGGGTGGGTGTTACCTGGTTTGTCCACCGCACATGCGTAAAGATGTCCGTGGTGTGACGTCATCACGTATGCACGGTGATGTACTTCACTGCCGGCATCCATCACCAAGAAAGCAGGGGATATTGACCCAGTGGGATCAGGTATGCCAATGGGTCCCCGCTCTTGTGCTGCTGTCGGCCTTTCGGTCTATGACCAAGTGCCAGACTTAGTCATTTGGGTCCCACCCCCTCAGATGGTGTCCCTGCCGTGCGGGCTGCACTCCCCACATCCCCCTTGTGACGCCACTGCTGTTCACTGCTCTATCTAAAACTAAAAAGGGGGTTTTGCCTTTAGGGCTCATTCACACGGGCATGCATGCCAACACAGAGAGCTGCTCCCGGGAGGGCAGGTGCTGCATGTAATTGTGTGCAGCCCTATGGGAGCCAGGAGAATCCTACCGCACTCCTTACTGGTATGTCCCTTGCGGTCGAGTGCTGTACTGACTGCGGATGGCGCCGCTTCAGATTCAAGTAGTAAAATATATCACCAGCACGCCGTGGTCTGGTCTTCAGAAAGTGATCATTCTATTGATGCGCACACATCTTGTCACATTGCAACGTTTCAGGGCCATTGCAATGTGACAGAAGAAACATTCGCAGATATTCATAGGGGCAGTGGTCAGATCTCCAGAGAGTGATCATTTTATTGATGCACACACATCTTGTCACATTGCAACATTTCAGGGCCACTTAGGGTCCCTTTCTCAGGGTCCCTTCCACCCTGAGTGGCCCCCGAAACGTTGCGATGTGACAAGATGTGCGTGCATCAATAAAATGATCACTCTCTGGAGATCTGACCACTGCCCCTATGAATATCTGCGAATGTTTCTTCTGTCACATTGCAATGTTTCGGGGCCACTCGGGGCACCTTCATCAGGGTCTCTTCCACCCTGAGTGGGCCCCGAATGTGACAATGTGACAAGATGTGCGAAGATCTGACCAGTGTGTGCTGGTAACATATTTTACTACTTCAGCCCTATGTGAGGACGCAGCTGCACACGGTCACCCTCAGACCCGAACCTCCACATCCCTTTTAGATTGTAAGCCCTCAGGGGCAGGGCCCTCCTTACTATCTTGTCTTGAATTGTATTGGGATTGTAATTACTTCCTTATATTGTAAAGTGCTGCACACACTGTTGGCGCTATATAAATCCTGTGTAATAATAATAATCCCGGTGCCCACACTGAACAGAGATCAGTAAACGGTTCCTTACCCAGTGCCAGGAAGGAGTACACCCACTGCAGTACCGCCGCCGTCTGCAGTCTCCTCTCCAAAGGGACAGAGCGCGGAGCAAACTCGATCGCCATGTTCTCAGTGCAGACAGATGGAGGAGAGTTTCCTGAGAGCTGGAAATTGGGGTCCAAAGTCTGCCGGCTATTAGACAGCGTGTTGCAATCCTCTGCGTTGGAGCGTGGCTGCCCCGCTCACCTCCATGACTGAACTCTACACTCACAGTAATCTCACTTATCAGCCCCAGATAATTTCGTCTTTGCTCAATGGCCGTCCTCGGCAAGGATGCCAATTAAGCAAAAAATTATCAGCCTGTCCATATCGTAAAGTGGAACCCCAACCTTACCCCACTGCAGGCTTCACATAGACCTAAAGATTACTTTATTGGAACCTTCTGTCATTTAAAACTGGTTTATTTTATTCCTTCCCTGGTTCCTCCTTTCCGCCCTTATCAACATTTTCATTACATACCTTATTATAGTCCCAGTCAGGGCCGGTGCTACCACTAGGCAAACTAGGCAGCCACCTAGGGCGCACTGCTGCCTAGAGCGCAGCCACGACCACTCATCCCGCCCCATCTATTTCAAAAGGCAAAACCCAATAGCAGGCTAGCTATTGCACCCGCCCACTGAGCAGAGGAGCGGAACTCAGAGACAACTTTCTCTCTCAGGTCCACTCTGTGGATGGGGTTTCAATAGCCAGTCTGCTATTGGCTATTTCAAATTAAAATAGCCAACAGCAGTCTGGTTATTGCTCCCAGCAGCTTGCATGCCTGCGGAAGCTAGCCGGCAGGAAAATGGGGCCGCACGGGGGAGGGAATTGGGGGTTGTGCCGTGGGAGTGGGGCTGGGGGGTGCTGGCCATGCCTAGGGCGCAAAATAGTCTAGCACCAGCCCTAGTCCCAGTGATGTCATTAGTGGGAACTAGACATGTGCGATTCGTTTCCTTCCGAATCGAAATTCGGACGAAATTTCGGAGATTCGGATGTATCCAAATTCCGAATTACAGATAATAACGAATGCAAACGAATCCGAATTTCCGATTCCGAAATTCGCTAGCGGAAGTCTGGACGAAATTCCGTTTGTTGGACTAAATTGCATCAAAGTGACATTTCAGAATTTTTTTTTTCCCCCTCAAATGTCACTTTGCTGCAACGAACGAACGAAACAAAAACGTGACGACAATTCGTACAGACTACCACTAACGAATTTCGTCCAAATCCCGAAAAACCGAAATGACGCAAAATCCGAATCCCGAAAACAAATGGACTTTCGGACCCGAATCCCGAAATAACGCAAAATCTGAATCAAAACGAAACACATTTTTTGCCGCTGCACATGTCTAGTGGGTCGGGTCTTGTGCTTCTCTATACAATGCAGGCAGATCATGGAAGGTGTGAGGGGCCGGCAGCGTGCTGTACACAGCTTCCCGAAAACATCACAGCACCCGGCCTCACTAATTCTCTCATGAGAATCTCGTGAGATTCTCTCAATTCACTGGTTCGGCCTCACCTGGAGTATGCGGTGCAGTTTTGGGCACCTTTACACAGAGGGGATGTCCTTGAACTGGAGAAAGTCCAGCGAAGGGCGACCAAACTCATCAAGGGGATGGAGGACCAGAGCTATGAGAAATATAATAGTGTGGAATCATTCAAGAAGCTTTTGGACGATTTCCTGAGAAATGGTAATATACAGGGGTACAAGTACTCCTAAAAACGAGATGACTCGGGGATCTTTACACACACACACACAATAGGTTGGACTTGATGGACATGTGTCTTTATTCAACCTCAAATACTATGTAACTATGTAACTATGAGCCCTCAGTCCTCAGCAATGGGCTGGCTCTGGGGAGGAGTTATGCAAATATCAGAATGCCTTGATAACTGGAGGTCAGTCTGCAGGAGTGGGCATTCCTAGGCAGGCCTCATTTGCATGCAGACCACCCCAGGTAACACCCACATGTGATGTTGCGCCTCCATGATTCAAAGAAATGAAATTCAAAGGGGCGGGGCCAGGGACAGTCAGGCTGGGGAGGATAGAGCTACATGGTGCTGGACATCTTCCAGCCAGGAAATGAGGCGGGCTCTCTGTGACTTGTTGCAGCTTCTAATGCACATGGTGAGAAGCTCACAGTGTGCAGTGATATCAGAGGAAGCCATTTCAGTCCAGGAGGAGAGGAGCCGCTACAACTGTGCAAGAGATTTTTATATTATGGATAGAGTAAAGAATGGTTACAATTTCTATCAGGTTTCATTTTTTTCCCATCTGTGTCCCATAGAGCAGATTTCCCCGCACTTCCTGCTCCATAGACACATCAGGAAGTTAATTTCTCCAAAGAGAGGAAAATTCTCTCTGATACAGTTGTCCTTTGTGTCTAGGGAGGCAAATAAAAAAGTTATAATCACCTGATCCTCCGAGTTGGGTTGCTCTTAGACCGGTCCCTGGAGCCTCTCTCCCCCTCCTCTAGAGCAGTCTAAGGTCCCTGAATCATCACGTTCTATACACAGTGTATGAGATGTGAGGACGCCGAGGGATATACCATCGCTGCAACAGAGGAGGAGGCAAGCTGGAGGGAACGCTCTCACAGCCGGTCGGCTCCAAGGATTATGTGAGTATAACTTTTTTATTTTCCTCCCTGGACCAAAATGAGCAGTTAACCCTTGCTGTGCAAGGGGAGCCCAACTGCAAGGGTTAATAATACATTTCCCCAGGGTTCTGCTTCAAATTCAAACGTTCTGCTGTAATACTGCACAATGGGCACTAGGTGGCACTGATGGAGCATAGGAAATTAATTTACTATGCTCCTCCGCTCCATCTAGTGGTTATAAAACCATATTACAATCAGAATGTTCACATTTATTACACTTAGAAAGGATAAACCTAAAGAAAGTTCATTTGTGTATGTATTCGCACAGAACAAACATTCACAGTTATCTGCAACGCGAACACTAAGTTCCCATTCATACCTGAGCTTTATGTGGCTGCACGTCAAATGAGCACAGAAATACGATATAATTAGTTGTCCCCTTCAGGGTGCCCCCTTACATTGTATGTCCACATCAGGGTGCCCTCTTACATTGTATGTCCACATCAGGGTGCCCACTTACATTGTATGTCCCCATCAGGGTGCCCCCTTACAATGTTTGTCCCCATTAGGGTGCCCCCTAACATTGTATGTCCCCCATCAGGGTGCCCCCTTACATTGTATATCCCCCATCAGGGTGCCCCCTTACATTGGGTGCCCCCTTACATTGTTTGTCTCCATCAGGGTGCCCTCTTACATTGCATGTCCCCATCAGGGTGCCCCCTAACATTGTATGTCCCCATCAGGGTGCCCCCTTACAATGCTTGTCCCCATCAGGGTGCCCCCTAACATTGTATGTCCCCCATCAGGGTGCCCTCTTACATTGGGTGCCCCCTTACATTGTTTGTCCCCAACAGGGTGCCCCCTTACACTGTATAGCAAAACAAATGGCAAACGCACTCATCAATTTGTACCAGCTTTGCAGCAAGGTGCACATGGAAGGGCTAAATAATGATTTGGTGCAGTGACGCATGGGGTGGGGCCTCAGCTGCCGTTGTGCGTCCCTGTGCCTTTAAGAGAGGTTTCGGCTTCCTCCTGACCAACCTGCACCCAATTTGATCTTTTGCCCCATGTGCTCCAAGATGGAGACTCTCATAGTTTAGAGTTAGGACCGCACTATATAGAGGTGCCTTGGCACGGCTGTGCGGCTTTCACATTTTCTGCAGAAGACGTGTATCCAAACCTTTGTTTTTAACCTTATCGGTGAGACAAGTTTTTTTGCATGCTGGCTGGTGAGTGTGCTGGGAAACTTTTTGCTGTTGTACACTTACACTGTATGTCCCCATCACAGTGCCCTCTTACATTAACTACAAAACAAAGGGCGCACCCTGATGGGGGGAACTAATTATTAGGTACAGCCATCGGAGTGCCCCCTACATTAGTTGCCCCCTATCAGATTTTTCTATCACATATAGGTATGTGTGTGTGTATCTATGCACCTTCACAGCAATGTGCCGGCTCACAATGACAGTCCCAGTTTCTCATGTGGCTCCTTTAAGTAAATGTATTGCCCCCCCCCCCCAGCATTACAGTGACTCCGAGATTCCAATAACATTACAGCCACTAGATGGCAGTGACAAGTTCTTGTAATTAATATTACACTTATTAGAATGTACATTTACAAGCTTTTGCCATAACACTCTATACAGCTGCGGATTCTCTAGAAGTTATTTTCTTCCTTTTGGTCTGTTTTTATGATACCATTGAAACGTTTGTTTGTTTTTCGTATAAATGTGCAATAAATGCAAAAAAAACAACTGTCGATCCTGCCAGAAATCTTGTGAGCTCATAACCTGCGCTCTCTGTCTCTGCTGTCAGTTAGTGCTGTTCCCAGCTTATCTCTGTGGACTACAACACCCCCATGTTATGGAGAAGAGGAGAGAGGGAGGTATTCTGTAGTCCTACAACACTTCCTGCACCAAGGTGACAACACTACTTCCCCCATAGATACAGTATAATCAGTGCATGTTGTCATTGCAGGACAGGAAGTGTGCTACTGATAGTAACACCAGGTGAAGATAAAGAAAAGACTGAAATAAAGAATTCATTACATGTGACATTCTTCCCATAGTGCTGTGGTCGGGGTTGTCACCCATCCTCAGTGTGGACATCCATTGAAATCTCTTAATTTGGCCTTCCCCACGGATTCCACAGCATTTTGCAGGGCAATGAAAACCCCCAATGTCATTGATCCCTAATGACCACTACAGGAAACACTTTGTCCTGGCATGATTGTCCGCACTGTTTATTGTCCTGTTATAAGTGATACTATTCTACGAGATGTTGTTACAAACTGACCAAGACGCACCGGCTCCTGTTGTATGATACCCATCCTGTATATGAGTCCACATATGTCCGGGGAGAGCCATGACAGATGGACCGGGACACTTTACTGCTGACCGGATGCCCAGAGGACACAAAGGTGTCATCAGCATAGATCTCCCACCTTCTGTACAGCTGTGACATTGTGTGACTCCCGTAGATTGTATACGGTTCTTGCTGCTTGGCATTGTCCGTCCTTACATTTCCCCATTGACATGTCAAGAGGAACAGACTTTAGGGAAACCA